ATATTTTATTAAAAAATTAATTAAAAAAGTGACACACACCACCGTTCACATGAAACCCTGGAAGGAAGAATGTTTTGGAAAGAGAAGTGAAAAGACATTGCTGCTTTGTATATAAAAAGACATTATTGAGTATGGTGTAATAAAGTCTGAACAAAGTAAACTATTCTTCAGATACCACAGATTTATTTTAGGCTGAAGTGCAATTTCCAGGCTGAGCTTGCCACAGCTGCCAGTTTGCTTTAGCAAGCAATGCCCTGGGCAGTGAGAGCTGGATGTGGCAGGAGGCTGCTCAGGACAAGGGTGTGCAGTGCCTGGACACTGAGCCGCTGTTGTGTTGTTGATTTCAGCAGGGGGGAGAGGATGCTGGCTTTTTTCACCCAGAGGGCCAGCCCCAGCGGCCCCAGCAGCCCCCGGAGCCGAAACAGCAGCCAGTGCGGAAGGTCACATTGACAAAGGGAATGATGCAGCAGCACCTACAGCAGCAGGAGGCACAGATCCATTCACCAGCTCCTCAAGGAGTCAAAAACATCCAGGGAATCCATCAGCCTAAAAAGGTGATTTTTAGATACCTATTGCTGCTAGAAGTTTCACTGTCTAGCTGTGTTGCTCTATTAATAACTGGCATTCTATTTGTCACTTGCTAGCGCAGGGCTGCATGACCCGGGAGATGCATAATTGCATATAAAGCTTTTAATCTAGAGGGATTTGTTTGTTCCCAGCCCAGTCTGGCAATGCCTGCAGGTTGCTTCATCTGCTGACGTTCTGGCCAGCACAGCACTCCCTGGGGAAATGCATGTGTCCTGAGATAGCTACTGTAAGAGATGGTATCCAACGTGCTTTCTGGCTTTAAAACCAAGAGGGTTTTTGAAGTTCTGTTAAGCTTTTTATTCCATCTGTTTCCTGCATACATGGAGCACACAGCAGTTGTTTCAGGATGCTCTTTTCTGGGTCCCTAAAGTTGGTGTCGCTCAAAAGAGGTGGTGATCTCCTAGCTTGGTTTTTGCACTGATCGTGCCCTTGGGAGGAGGCAGGGAAGGGTCAGGGCAGCAGTGGAATGTGCCTTCTCTGCATTTGCAAACTGGCACAGTCCTTGAAAACAGCTGGTGTTTTGGCTTTTAAGTTAGTTCTTGGTTTTGAACTGTTGGCCACAATGCTGATGCGGAAGAGTGTGAACAGTTGTTGCCCATTTCCAAGTAGGAATCAAGAAACTCTGTTGAGTGTTGACTCAATGTTGTGTTAACTCTGTTTAATGTTTGTTACTCTGTTTCACTGTTATTTTTCCTCTCTCTGTTTAGCATTTAATGTGCATGAATTGAATCTATACATTTCCTGCTCCAGAATACATTGTGGTGCCAGATCCTACAGGATTTGGGGGAGAGGAAGTTTGAAAAGTTTTAAAGTTATTACGGTGGAAAGTACTCCATTTTGATAACAGACCAAGAGTTGGTAGTTGTAGAAACTGGAGGCACTTGAAGCAGTTTGCTGATCTTCTGAGTACATTAAATTTACCTGTGGGCTGAGAGGAGAAAAAGGAGAAGGATCACTTGTTGGGTTTTTTGCCCAGACTCAAAATGTGGGAGCTGAACACATGCAGCTAATGTTTTCAGTGCTGAAAACTAGGTTATATATATTTTTGACTGAGATTTTCCACTGCTTGGTTGATCAATCTGTGCTAGTGCTGAGGCTGTTAGCCTCAATGCAATACATATAACTTGCTATCCTTCTGAAAAAGTTTGTTTAAGCAGTGGATGAATACGTGAAACAGCCTTTCAAATCCGCAAACAGCAACAAGCTGTTTTAAATCAACTCGTGCTTTAATCGGGTCTTTAAGTAAATCACCAACTTTTATATTGTCTGTCAAATGCAGTAAGCAGAATCAGGAGGTAAGTAAATCAAAATACTGTTACTTTTGTTGTTGGCAGGTCATTATGCACGGCAGAGGCAGAGGAGTAGCAGGCCAGATGGGCCGAGGACGCTTGATGCCAAATAAACAGAACCTGCGAGTGGTGGAGTGCAAACCTCAGCCCTGTATTGTGTCAGTTGAAGGGCTTTCTTCATCAACTACTGATGTCCAACTGAAAAACCTGCTGATGTCAGTGGGACCCATTCAGGTAGGTCAACCTCAGTTTATCATTTTTGTGCCAAAAGGCTTTCATTCCGGAAAGCTCAATTAATTCTCTGACACTAAATACAATGCGTGTTTATTGGTAATTTATGTTTGAAGGCCCCCCCATCCACACATGCTACACCTGGTGGCAGAGACAAGCACGTGATGATACTGCAGCACAGGAGGCACGGT